AGCCACCATCTAATTCATTACAGCTATCTGCCTTGGCCGTCTCTCTTCTGGCATTACATCGCCTGTGGCTCCCGTCTCTTCCCCATTGGACCCATCCAAACCAAACACGACTCTAATTGACCACGGGCCCCCGACCCCTGTGTGGCCTCTAATGTCATGTACACACAGACACACACAAAGTAATTTGTGACGTCTTTGGTGTGCTTTGTAAAAATTATATATGTACATTCACATCAAAAGCAACCTAATAGCAATTAATCTGAATAATCTGCTGCATGTTTATATAGTTATTGTTTATTTACATGACATTTTTTTGTTTATTTTCTTGTCGTATCCTTGGGCTGCTGCAATACTCCTCCCAGGCATCATATAAAGCTCAGCTTATCTCATCATACAAGGACAAGCACAGTAGCACACACACAAACACGTACATAGGAGTGCGGCGCAAGGGGTTCTTTGTCGTCACAGCGCCTCCTCTTTGCCTCAGCTCCTCCCTGTGAGGAGGAGTAGCCTCCTGACGGGCCCTGTCGCTCCTCCGTGGGCTGACTGTCTGTTGATGACACTGACTTACTCTGGAGAAAGACAAGGACACAAATAAAGGTATGAACACACAAACATACTAATACTGTCGCAGTAAAGACAGGTGATGAAAGCTTGGATGAAAAGTAACACATGTTTTAACAAACCCATAAAACACACCCATATCCACCAATGGTACAGGACATGGTGTGAAGAAACGTGCACACACAGTCACTCTGTAGATATAAGCTTGGGTAAAGGCAAGCAAAAGCACACTGGGCAGTACACAAACATTAACAGAAAGCCCCATAAAACCACACAATGGAACACTGAGGCTCAACACACAACGGCACGGCACTAACAGAATACAACTGAACACCACACACACACCACACATCACCACATAACAAACACACACATCAGCAGAGCAAGAACGGCAGACGTAAGCACAGGTTAAGACCAACCCATAGAAGCACACAAGACAGCCTATACAGCTAATTAGTGCTCTCCCCTCGACACACCAGTCCTCATGTAAAATATGACTCTCATTATTGAGCAATAAAGCTGTGCGGGCATATTTACAATACAGCCTGGCCTGGTGCAGGCCTTGATCAGAAAAGCCGATCAAAGCATTGTGTTGGGTTTTTTTCGGGAGGGGTAGGGGCCAGAGGTTCGGTGAGGGCCACTTGTCATTCTCTGTCCCCCCCTGTGGGGAGGACAAGAACAGCGATGGTTTAACACACCAATGAGTCACACAGGAAGGAGCCCACGGGGCCGACAGGAAGGAGCACTGGACAGAGGAGAGGAGAAAACCACACAATGGACCTCAGTGTGGCTCAACAAACTTCCCTCTCTTCTTTCTTCTTTTTCTTCTTCT